CAAATAAGCATGTTTCCCAAAATGTCAAACTACTCCTTTAAGACCCAATGTTTAAAACCGTAGCCTACATTCTGATCTGGCTTTCTTGTTGCCGGTGCACAAAAGAAATTATCTCGGCCTTGGAAGCTGACACATTTGTTCTTAGTGGCTGACATGAGAGCTCCTCGCTGAGCATGATAGTGGGTAGCTGGTAGAGATCTCATATGGTTTATTGCTCCCACTTTCACTGAGGTTATTTATTGAACTGCCATCATGGCCCCTGCTCCCCACAACCACCCAATGCCTCTGTGCCCCTCAGTATGATAAAGGAATTTATGCCACATGAACAGCATACTGAGCTCGAGTTTCTTCTTAAGTGTTATTAAGGAGCATCACTCATGCATAGGATACTATTTACAGTAATACATTCACGCATGCAACTACTTCCTATGACAGCTCTTGAAGGAAAAATGATGATAGATTGTGTGCAGGGTGTGAGGCTATAAGAGAGAGAGCGGGGGGGAGATGGAGGGGAAACTAGGTTTCAAGTATTCCACAGGCTAAATGAAGAACAAACATGCACCATACAAGACAGTGAAGGAGAAAAGATTATCATCTGGAGATGAAAGGCGGAGAGAGAGGGGAGAGAGATTCATTCACTGCCACACAGCTGTCTTATTTGCAAGGTGTTGAGAAACCACTTTTTTTTTTCCTCCAAGAGGATGAAAAGATTCTTCTGAAGCCAAAAGGGTCTGCTATCATTTTTGGGCAGCTTGAGCGGTAGAGATGTTATTAGCATAAATTATCTCCCCCACCAAAGAGATAGGAACATGCTAGCTCCTTTCTGCTTTTCACACTTAATTGCCCTATTTACTGAACAGTTGCCCATGGACAACAAATGCACACACGCTCTGAGATGCATGCAGGACAACAGGCAGACACAAGCCAAATAGGGCATGAGTGATACACTGAACTATCTGCCAAACAGCATTAGATACAGTACGGCTGGGGAGGCAGTTAAGGTCCATTCAGACTTCATGTTGGACTGGAAATCCACAGAAAAATATTCAATATTGGTTTCATGACCTTCTTCACTGAGCCATGTCTGATCGGTGTCTGTGTAAAAAGGATTTCTGTGCCCAACGCTCGCATGGCAGCTGCTACAAAATGCTTTTAAATAAGAATTTTCTTTTAAATAAATACTTGTTGCATCCGCTGTGTGTTCATGTTCTATTTTTAAAGGTTTAATCACCAGCAGCTCTTGTCTTTCTAAAGAGCACAACAGTGTCCTGCTGCAGCAGCTCAAAAAAAAAGCCTCATTGAAGTGACCCAGTAAGCAAGAGTGAGGTAAATTATAGATGGCTTTGCTTAATGGACTCTTAGCTTCTCTTCACCTAGCCCAACAAGCCCAGAGTGACGTTATATAAGCTGTGCCAAGTATGAGACACTGGAGTTGCAGGTTTAATGCATCATAATCCCAGTGAAAATCATATTTTTTGTTTGGTTTGTAATGTCAGGTGTTTGAATTAGCTGGGAGTTAAATGGAGATAAGTGTTTATGTGGCTGGTTTAACTGTTGGTGGTGCCTCTTGTGTGTGTGAGAACAAATCAACTAGATTGACTTTGTTCACTCACTCACTCAGCCAGGTCATCTCCATAACCCTGGAGGGCCATACAGGATGTTAATGAGGCTGATTGTATCCTCTACCTCCCTCCTTCCCATCTGACCGGAGCCGAGCCCCCCTCCCACCGCTCCAGCACCGCAGAGTAAAAACCATTCCTCCAGCCTGAGGGGGTCAGTCGCTATGGTAACGTCCTGAGGCAGTGACCACATGTCAGAGGGAGTCTGGGGGCCATAAGTGGACCGGAGCTCCGGCATGATGAGGAGGAGGAAGAAAACAATTGGCCTGCTGCTGGATACAAGTAACCTGAGAGATGTTTCAATCACAGCGTGTTTCCTTGTGTTTGTCTCGGCTCACCTCTAACCTGTGGCTGACTTGTTGCATTCACGCTGCAATTTATCAGTAAAACTCACGTGTGGTGGAATGATACAGTATCTAACCTGCAGATTATGTTAATGTTCAGCAGAATATCTAATCTAACACTACTGTAAACATGCTGAGGGGGCTTTAGCCATTATCAGCTAGGGCTTGGTTATATGGCTGACAATGTGTTTATAAGGATGTGGCAAATATATTGGTGTAAAATCATTAACGTGATGTTCAATACAATGAGCTGTTATACTTTAAATCAGAAAAATCTTCATGCATGTGAAGCAAAAAATTTAATTTAGACATTTTGGTGATGATTAGATGAGTGCTGAAACAGTTAATTAATACATATTGAATTAAATTGTTGCTCGAAAGAAAAATAATCAATTTATTTATAACTAAAAGTAATTTAATTGCACTATTTTTGCAAAAAACATTACATCTTAATTAAGAGTTTTTGCTGCTATTTAATAATAATAGAATTGCATGCTGAATATCTTTGGGTTTTGGGCTTCTGGTTTAATAAAACAAGACATTTTAAGACGTCAACTTGGGTTCTGGGAAGTTGTAATTGGTAGTTTTTCCACTATTTTTTGAAGATTCATGGACTAAACAATTAATCAATAATGAAAATAACTGCATTATGCAGCCTGTAATTGAATTACTGCCCAGTCCTACTACCACCACCTAAATATTTCCACACCGCTCATCATATTAATGGCAGCGCAGCCATGTTTATACTTTAAAGAAGCAAACTGGCTGTGCTCCATTGCCACTGTACAAAGAATAATGAGAGCTTCTCCTACAGAGGTGAGCTGTAGTTCACGAAGCGTCCGGTTTGAGCAGCTGCTCGAGAAGCTCAATATGAGTCAAGAAAGGGTCAGTGTTCATTTAACCTCTCTGCTCCAAGGAATAAAAAATAATTCAGCAGCAACAAAGGCTTTTTTTTCGTGAACAAATCATGATCTTTGCAACAACCCAAACACATGAATGTGAAAGCTGGATGAGTAAAGTATCCTGTGGTGCAATTAGATAATTAAAGAGTTGGATGTGATTACTTTGCTAAAATACTGCTTTCCAAAGATGATTCGCACAAAACAGTGTTTATTAAAAAAAGGTATTTCACCACAAAAACAAAACCCCTCCTCGCCACAGCTCATCATTTAGGACAATGATTCTTCCCCTGACCTTTCTCGTCCTTGCCTCCGCACTACAGGCTTGGCGTGGTGACAGCAACGTGAACTTGTGCTGTAATGTACAATCACATGCGTGTGATAAATCCTGACCTCCCTGATTTAACACCTTCCCCTCTTGAAGCCTGCCACAACCGAGCTGCAGGGTCACTGCCAGTGGCAGGGAGGATTTAGAGCGACCCCGGCCAGGGGGCACCCCTAAATGTCTGGATAAATCTACGGCACCTTCAAACACACTCAAACACAAGCTGCTCGACATGGAAATGCAACATATATTAAATAAGTTATAAGATGAGCATTTCATCTATGGTGGAAAATAACAGCTGTGGGATATTCTGGATTTATTTTAATCTACAAGGGGTCTTGATTTTTTTTTTTTTTTTTGCTAGACATTTTTTTCATGTGACTTTCGATAAATATATTTAAAAAATAAATTGTTATGATAATTAATTGGGGCACTGTTGGCTTATTACAGAATAGAAATGTCTTTTGACTATTTAAATAAACTAAAATTGATGTAAAATTACAATGCTGACACAATTAGTCCATCAACTGATTTGCAGATGGCAAAAAATTTAAATGTTCTCAGGTTACAGCTCCTTACATCTTAGGATTTATTCTGTTTTTTGTTGGTTTTATTTGACTGTAAATCAAATAACTTTGGGTTTTGAACTGTTGGACTTCCAGAGAATTATAGTGGACATTTTCACTCCAGACAAACAACAAATAAAATAATCATTTGGCAAACTAACTATTAGCAGTAACACATGACAAACATGATTATCATAATAATCACTAATCAATAAAAATTTTTGTAAAGGAGAATTTCCTCCTCCAATGCCTTCCTGATGTTGATGACTTTACCACCATTGCTGCTCGTACACACAATGGAATAAACTAAAATAAAACAGTAGAGACTATAAATCAACAATATCTTCTAATGCCTACACTTCCTCCACTGATATAATGTGTGATAGTACAGAAATAGAAGCGCTAATTTTCCTTTAATAGTAATTAAATGTGTTGATTTAATGCTGTGAGGCATGAATTAATTAAACAAGTGCTGTGACAAGTGTTTCCTGTTGATGGTGAATCAAACAGGTGCATAATTTCTGTTTCACTTGAAAATGTTTGGAGACTACCACAAGATTCAATTCTTCTGTCTAAATATTTCACTTTCATTTATTCTAACAAGGGAACAACAAACGCTGATCTCGGTGATGAATATACAGTGCATAATGTAACAGAAAATGAGTTAGCTAACGTGTCCACATAAACACAAAACCAACCCAGTGATATTTAGCCAATTTAGCAAGCATGGATCTAATTCTAGATTTCACCCTAATCAAAAAAGATGTAATTAATTAATCAGATAATTCACTGCCATGCATGGCAGGACACACATCTGTGCAGTGGTAATGGGGAGGGAGAGAGAGAAGCTGAGCAGTGCAGCACTAGTACTTCCCCGAAGCCTGCTTGTCAACAGTGCTGGAATCCAGTGCAGCTTTAAAAGAGGTCCAGCACTCCCAGACACTCAGATAACCTCTCCTGTACTGTACGTGTGCTCTCAGCATGCGAGTACAGTGCCGTGTGTCAAAGGGACGGCAACATTTGAGGCTGTTTGAGGTAACAGAGATGACATGAGGGAGGCAGCGCCTGTACAAGGCAAACATAAACTGTGCCACTTCATCTGAAAACAATGGGGGACAGGACACTGAGTGTGCTCTCATCCACATCTCCATTGTCTGCCCTCCTCTTTTACTCCTCCTCCGAGCATGGAGCATAAGCGGGGTGAAAGAGGGAGGGGAGAGGAGGAGAAGGGGGAGCAGCAGTGGGGGCAGTGGGGGTCTGGCTGTGTTCTTTCTCCTCTGTCTGTGTGCGAATGCACAGACGGTTCAGTAGTAATTTGATGTGTGTCCCCGGGGACATTTGATGGATTAAAGCTAAGCAGCTCCATTTCGCAGCACCACCTGATCTTCCACTGCCTGTGCCCCATATAAAGGCTGGCGTGATTGCTGATCTCAGCTAGTCTGACAGTCTCTCTCTCCCTCCTCTCTCTGTCTGTCTCCATCTCTTCTCTTCCTCACTGGTCCCTTAAGCCTGCTGCATCACAGGAGCTATCCAGTGCTGAACAGGATCGCTTTTATTTTTTATTTTTTTATTTTTCTGGGGGAAGCTGGGGGAGCCAGAGAGTATCACACAGCATTGCCGTCAGCCTTGTTCTCCACTGGTTTCCATTTTCTTTCTTATCTTATGTTTTTGGCCGTTGTCTTCACATTAACCACAAGGATTACCGTCCAGCCAGCTCTGCTCGTGTGCTTCCTCAGAGGGTCTTTCATTTTTGCTCATGCGTTTTTCTCAGCTCTGTGTTTTTATCCATTGAAACATGCCCCGCTCATTTTTGGTGAAGAAGATCAAGCTTGATGATTTCTCTTCGTCCAACGTGGCCACTTCCAATCATCATCACCACCTGGACGACTCGTTCACTTTTGCACGCTCCATCACAGACTCGGTGACCAGCCTTGGGGTTCGTCTCAGTGAGAATGGTGAGTTAACATGCCTCCAGTCTGCCCCACTCCAGTTAAAGATGTGCTAGCACTCCTGCCTGTAGAAAGCTCCGGTGCTGATTTCAGCATGCCTGACATTTCCACACTAAGCACAGATGGCTTCCTCTTTTGTTTTTGTGTCGCTGTGAGATTTTCTCTTGCTTCAGCCAATAACATGCTCGTAGTGTGTAAATTAATGTGAGATGAGACATGCAGCCAGCTGATTTTTGCATCAATATCCGAAATAATCCTCTCCGGTGGCACCCCACCCCCATCACCCCGCTCCCAGACTTTTGTTTTTTGACTCCAGTGAAGGACAGACACAATTCAGGTCACAGCCACGGATTAGCTTATGTAAATAGGGAACCAAACGTGTGTATAATCAGGAGAAGCTCCAGTTACGTATTTGTATGACTGCACCAACCCTGTGGTGGCTGAACACACATAGGCTGACTGTATCTGGTCATCATGTGGACTAAAAAATTCATGAATATGAGAGATGAGTATCGGATGATACATTTGTCCTTAGCTGTTATTGTCCTTGAGTTCCCATCACGGTCCAATCCTCCCTTGCCCCCCTCTTCCCATCCAAATGGAGCATGCACAGTCTCCCCACCCCCATCGCTCCACTACATCTTTCTCTTCCTTCCGGGCATTTGAAAACTAGCAGGGGTTAGAGTTTCAGCCATGCAGGCCTATCGCCGCCACAAGAGACATCAACACACTGTACAGTAGAGCCGGAGGGAGGTAGGGAGCCGGGCTGAAGGGGTAGCAAAGGGAAGGAGAAAAGGAGACAAAAATGCTTGGGGCAGCAATGAGGCTGATCACGTGACAGAGGTTGTACAGTAAACATGAAGAAAGGCACATAGCTGCACTGTGGTCAACACACGGACCGGTCACATTCGGCTCCAGTCTGAGCCGAAAGGCGACCTTCACTTTCACGCTCTGCTTTAAGCTCGCCGCTTCCATTTTGTGGCCACGTTTAGAGGGCCATATGTGTGTCTTTGTTGTGATTTGTTGGGATATTTCCACAGCGAGAGAGGCTTCACAGTCCACAGCTAAATGTTGTGATGATGCCCACCTGTTATTCAACCGTGTCAATAACAAGGCTCAGTGAATTTTAGTTGGATTGGGATTAGTGGAATTAAAACTGTCTGGGCTGGTTTGTGAAGTAAAATGGTTTGCTGAATCAGAAATAAGATTTAAAGCAAGAAATAAAAACATGCATTTTCTATATATTTACCAGAAATATTTTACTTGTGATAATTGTTATTCAGATTTCCTGCTGCACCATTTAATATCATTATTAAATAACCCGTGTGTGTAATTATTGTCACTCTCTATTGTTCCTGAATCTATTGTTCAACACTATAAAAATAAGCATTATATTAAAAAGGAGAAAAGCACGATAAGGCCCCACACTGGTGTTGACAAAAGGCTTTTAATTTGAACAAAAGAATCTTTTCGTGCTGAGTCCAAAAAAAAAGAGAGACGCAAAATAAAAGAATTCACAGCGTGGCTGAAATACCTAACATCAGCACTTCTGCCGTGCCAGGAGATTTTCTTTCCCCCCATTGTGGAGACATTTGACTTGAGTGTCTGTCGAACAACAAAGAGGGGTGGCTGAGAGGGTCCATTAATTACATGCTTACTTTGCATTAGAGGAACGAGCCTATGAGCTGTAAAGGCTGATACAGCGCAAGTCCTAAATGATGAGCTCTGTGTCTGACCTTGGGTAATTGAAATATAGTAAACAGCTCTGCTCACATTGATACAGTATGTTTTGTCAAAAAAAAAAAAAAAAAAGATAAGGGCCATGTTGTCGTATGTAGCGCAGGTCCCCAGGCTACAGTGTGACTGTGAAACAGGTGGATGTAGCAACAATAATCATTGAAGCTGCAGCATTTGTACATTTAATTGTAACTGTAAGAATTTAGTTAAATAAAAAAAGATACATAAAAAAATATTTCTTATTTTTTAAATAGTGTTTTTTGAAGGGAAAGGCTGCTCTCTCTCCTGGACAAACACCATCTGCGTAGTTTAAAACAGTGAACCCATGCAGTGCAGCATAATAATGTGTGCACAGGCCTGGTGTTTCCCTGTCCCCGGGTGTCATGGTCATGTCTTTGACAGAGTGGGTGTGTGAACAGAAACCCTTGGGAATGGAGACGCTGTAGTAAGAGAGCACTTCAACTGATTTCTTAATGGCCCTGTTTCTTGAAGGCGCTTTAGTGTGCTCGCTGCTGCAGACAGGTGACCCCTCTTCACAAACAACGTGTCGCACATTATCAGGCCTCAAGCATACTGTGCTCAATAAACTATTATTGTGTGCGCCGCAGATACTTGATCTGTTCCTCGCACTATTTCTATCTTCTCCAACAGCTGCACTATTTTACATATGATAGCCTATTGATCAGTTCAAAACTTTGAATTTCATTAAAAGGCAGTCAATACCTAATTTCCACTGCTTGCTGCACACAGTGCTGGGAATGGCTTTTTTCTGCAGTATGCACTATTTCTCTCAGGAAAGGAGTTTCACCACCTTTTATATTTGCTCTCATATGTTCAACCGACAGAATATCAACCCTGGAGGTAAAATGCATTTAGTATTAATTCAGCTCCTAAGAGTCACAGCATAAGAATGTATTGAGTTCTGTTTGGATGCATTTAGCTGCCAGCAAGCCTTTTAGCTCCTCTGGCACTGGGCTGCTCTGAAAGGAAAGGAAAGACATGAATGATGCCAACAAAAATATATCTCTCTGAAATCATGCTCTGTACAATTGGAGACATTTTAAATCACTCGTGGTGCTTTGTGCTTTGCTGCATCATGTTGAAATGTGCTTCATGAAGTAGCATGAAATCCTACAGGATGTAAGCAGCAGGATGTAACACGTTAATTTGGTCCAAGACCAAAAAATGCATTTGTTTGCAGCAAAAAGCAAACAGCAATTAATACATGAAGCACTCTCACATCAGACAAGCAACCTGTTTTGGGTGAATGTTTTTTTTTTGGAACTCTCAGATTAAAAAACACAATAAAACCATGCCAAAATAAAAATTCTGAAGAAATAAGATATTTACGGTTCAGATTTAGAGTTGAAACATGATCATCTATGAAACAAGCATGCAGAGAGGCTACAGCCAGAGAGGAAGGACATGCCATAAATGAGGAAATGGAAGTCTAATCAATGAGACTACTGTATTTGAGAGGGGCTTTAATACGCATCTTACACTGAGGCTTCTTTGATGAGCTATTATCTAGCGCTCATCCTCACTGTAAAATTGCAACCTTCCTATATGCAGCTGAGTGCGTCATGTTTCCCTGCATCACTGCACTATTGTGCGTACAACCTGTGAGTTCTGGAAAAAATGCAATTAGCTCTGTGCTGCCACTCACTCTTTCACCATTTTACGAAGGGCAATCATCCAAGATGATAATCATGTAATCACCAGCATGTCACTGTGTCCTTATCCATCACAACCCCTGGCCAACTGTGTTTGCGTGTGTCTCTTACTCAGGCTACATCCAGGATTACATCACGCCATCTGTATACCAGGGGGAGAAGAAGATGGAGCACAAGCTGGCTTCGCCGGTGTCGGACCCCCTCTACACCCAGGTGAGCAGCGGAGAGGAGTACTGTGACCCCGACCTGAAGCACCCCGACAGCCCCCAGTCTGGCATGACAGCCAGCGGCTTCTACAGTGGTGAATCGGAGGCCCTGGCCGAGGGTTACACCATGGATGCCTTCTTCATCTCTGATGGGCGCTCGAGGAGGAAGGGAGACACCGAGAGTCGTGGAGGGGGCTCAAGAAGCAGCAGTGCCAATGGCGGGGCTCAGGAGAGGGGATCTGGCACGGCTCGCCACACCTGCAACGAGTGCGGCAAGACGTACGCCACCTCCTCCAACCTCAGCAGACACAAGCAGACGCACCGCAGCCTGGACAGCAAGATGGCCCGCAAGTGTCCCACCTGTAATAAAGTGTACGTGTCCATGCCGGCGTTGGCCATGCACATCCTCACCCACGACCTCAAGCACAAGTGCGACGTGTGCAGCAAGGCCTTCAGCCGGCCGTGGCTCCTTCAAGGTCACATGCGCTCACACACGGGGGAGAAGCCCTTTGCCTGCGCACACTGTGGCAAAGCCTTTGCTGACCGTTCAAACCTCCGCGCCCACATGCAAACACACTCTGCCTTCAAGCACTACAGATGCAAGCGCTGCAATAAGACCTTCGCTCTCAAGTCCTACCTGAACAAGCACTATGAGTCAGCTTGCTTCAAGGGCTCTGCGGACGAAGACGACTCTGGATCAGAAAACTAACCACGAGGAAAAAGCAAAATTTTGAACCCCTGTTGTCGGTTCACAACCAATAACCCTGTTCACTCTGCCCTCCATGCCTTTTTTCTTCCCTTTTTTTAGAAAGCAATATTTTCACTGAGATTATGTGAAGAAACTCTAATGATTATGGCAAAGACAATTTCAAAAGATGCTGGATTTTTTCCCTGCACAGTAGCTAATCGTCCACAGAAACATACAATCAAACAACCTTCCCCCAAATAGAGACTGTAGATGATAGTTGTACACAATTAAGCAACATGTGCTCGTACGGACGTGGGCACATGTAAACACACACACACTCACACAGACATGTATGCAAATACACACACACAAACACACACATTAATGTACGCACGTGTGCACACACATATACACTCACACACAGACACACTTACACACACACAATTATATATGAGGCCTGGCATGTGAATTTTTATCAATGACTATAATGATATTGATATCAATAGTAATAATATTTAGATTCCTGATATTTTATAGCAAATAGTAATGAGAAAATGACAAAAAAAAACATAAAAAAGGACTAACAGTGTTCTTTTGTTTTTTAGAGACAAAATGACCTCTTGTATTTTTATGCTGCTTTTTATTTGCTAAGAATTGAATTCTTTTGCAACTGCCAACATGAACTTTTTATGAAAATGTGAACTATGACAGTATTTGCAAAAAAGGGAGATCATTTTAAAAGGTTAAAAAGACAAACCCCTTTTTTCCACACCAATGTTTCAATTCAACGGATGTTATTTTTCTATTTGATTTTTCTAAATTTATTTTTTTGTGCTTATTATCCCTTGTTGATCTAAAGCATCTTTGTAACTGTGGGTATTCAAAAGAGAAAAAAAAGAGCAAATTTCAATAAGCTATACACGATCATAGGCCATAGGTCATTCAATTCAATTCTGCAAGATTTTAAAACGTTTAACAGGCCTGTTGAACAGGTTATCACACATCAAATTCATAGTCTCACCCTGATGTACAGACTTGGACTAAAACACTGGGAGCCAGACCAAATGATCTATTGTTATAAGTGCCATGTGCGGTTGACTTGTCTATAGCAATGAAAACTCTCGTTGTTCTTCCTCCACCATGGTGGCTTGCATAAACTCTGCTGCCTTTATGGTGCATCGTCCAGTCTTAAAGAGCAATCTTCACCCAGTGTTTGAGGTGCTCCCCCTCCGCCAGTGTTACCTCAGAGTGAAGGTATGGACTCACACACCCTCAGTTACAAAGTGACAGTCAAATTATTCTGTTTGTCTGTTTTATATGTCGCTCAAAGCTCCGCCCACGGTTTAGATGCATACCATCTATTTATCATGTAAATACTTTATTTATCTACCTATTTATCTATTTATTTATTTACCTTATTTTTGTGTATTTATTGGAGACTTGCTTATTTGTTAATTACCATGTATTTATTTATTGTTTATAATTTAAAAGATGAACATCCATTGACCTTGTAAGATGCTGCTGATCTTCAAAGAAAATGTTTATATGCATGAAAACTGTAGAGAGTCCATGGGACTTAGTTTTTTAAAGAGGAACAATGTACAGTACCAGTGTTAGGAGACTACAAACGAATGAATGCAGAATTTTGTTTTTCGTGGCAATAACTACTGACACAGCAACTGACATGTATAACAATCACAGCTGTCCTGTTTTCAGTCGATTTAGGGCAATAAAAAGAAACAATGAAAAACGAAACACTAAAATATTCTCCGTTTTGCTGTTTCCCAAACGTCCACTGCCTCCTCGTGACGGGAGAGTTTTTTGGCCCCTTTTGTCTTTAAATCTCAGGCAATAAATAATTCCCAGAAATAACCGACGGCGATGTGCATGTAGACACTGCCGTGAAAAACACTATCCATTACATAATAATGTAGGTGTAATCTAGTTACACCAAGGTTTCAAAGGTGCAAAAGCAATAATGAACGCGATGCAGTAACTATGAGCAACACTCAGTCCTTTATACAGCGAGTCCAAAACTGCTACAAGTGTTAATTCGGCTGGAAATGGCTGCTATTCTTTAATATTAGTATCATTTCAACTGTCTATTATTTTACAAAGCAACCAGGTAAAAACACATCTCTTCTGGCAGCTGAAAGGCAGGTGTGATTTAACTGCTGGAGGGTTACACAACAGGATTACAATAATTCTAATTTAAGTCACTGACATAATAAAGCATTACAATACGGTTAAATTAAAAGACATTACTGCTCCCAAATGATTCTGTGCAGTAAAAACAGCTGAGCAAATCTCCGAGGTGTCAAAAGAGAGAATGCATTGAGGTATATATATATATCTTAACCAGCACTAACGGAAATAATCTTGACATGAACTGTTTTGGTAGGGAAAGTTTTTAAGATTGTTGTACTAAAATGACGTGCTGTAATGCACTCCTAACTCCCCCATCATTTGTCCCTGCCTCGCTTCCCTCCCCTATCAGCCGTCCTCATCCCGTCCCAACTGCCTCTAAACAGACGCACCGAGGATGAGATGTGCTGAAGTGGGATTGGCGGAGGGTGGCGGAGTGTGGGAGGATAACAGGTGTTTGCAGACAGACTGCAGATAGGGAGCGTAATTGAGTCGGTGAGCGACCTCCAAGGGGAAGGTCAAGCACCAGCAGGCAAATGCACTGTCAGCTATTTGCATATTCCAAATGGATGACACGATCGCGGTAATGCTGAGCTCGCCCCAAAAACAAAACAAAACACAAAACTGGGGAGAGAAGAAAAGAAAGAGAAGTTTATGCTCCATTCGGCCGCGCTCTCCTCCCTGTTTCACCGTCATCCTGTCAATGGTTGTCTAAATGCTACAGCTGAATCACCGCATGAGAGCATCCAAACCACCTGTCTCCTGATTAACTTGCAGTCAGAACACACAGTTTGGCACATCACAGTATCACTGAACTAATGCGGAAATCACTACTTCCTATAGATTCTGTTTTATATGTTTAATGTTTTACTGTGGGACAGAGATGTAACGCATCTCCAAAACCTGGGGACTGTGTTTTAATGAGGCACATAAAAGCACGGAGATCATTAAAAACATCAATTGGAAATGTACTGTAGGCTTGTATCTAAAACTGGCAGCATTACAGATCGTCCTCGGAGAAAATATTAATTACAGAAAAGGAGGCACAATTTGATTCGAAACTGAATTTAGATGTAGGGAAACATTGTTCCTCTTTGATGATTTTGTAAATATATTTGTAAATACATCACAGCAATAATATGACAATGCATGTAGACATTTAATTGCTCTTTTTCTATTCATGTTTTTTTTATTAAAAAGAAAAGACAAATACAGGTACCAATTGCAGTCTGGGTGGCCACGCGAATCAGGGAGTGTCTTGATTAAAAAGCTATCTGTTGTAAGTCACAGACAAAAAAAACCTTCAAACTCTGTGTGTTCTCAAAGATTTGATCATGTTCTGTATGATTTTTTTTCTGTTCTTGTTTTCTTTTATTAATGTGCCCGGCTTGGCTGCGCAATGAAAAAGTGCCAAAAAGTATGATTTCCATGACAAAAGCCTTCAACATATGGTTGGCTGCTTGAAACCTTCCATATGGTCCTCAAAGAAAAAAAACTGATTAAGATTTTCCACTTTCTTTCTCACTCTCGCTCTTCCTCTCTTCCTCTCTTTCTATCTCTCTGTTCCAGCTGAGTATGAAGAAACTTAAGCCATGATTGCTGAGGGGTGTTTTGATTTATCTTGTTCTGCTACAGTTAATAATGATGACAACAATAGCAATGATAACGTTAATAAAAACAATAGCACAAGGAACCTACAAGTCCACTCTTGTTTCTTTTAAAACTGTCAAATCTGATTTTATTTAAGGAGAAAAGGGTGTTTTTTTGTTTCACTGAGTAGACACACACACACACACACACACACACACACACACACACACCCCGCAGGTGTTCATTGACAGCCCAACCTGTTCATTCAGTGCAAGTTTTTATATATTTTTTACACCTTTCCCCCCCGTAATATATCATCAAACACACTGAGGGAAATGGTGAATCTGGAATCTGTTTGGAGTAGCCCTTAGTCAACATTAACACACTGAGTAATTATAGTTATAGCTATAATGTGCCATCAGCTGTAGCCTCCTCTGTCAATGTTTGATGAATTTTACGAGCTTTACTGTCAATTTACTAACTTTTAATTTCACCGCTACGAGGCACGAAAATGCCGATATCCTTTGTTTTTCACGGCGGCTGTGAACAGGAGCGGTCAGAGGACCTGACAACACCAATACAGCTTTGAATAAGAGTTCCTGAGATGTCGGCGTTATCAAAAGCAGAGGCATCTGTTCCACCACTATTAAGCCCTTCCTGGTCATTAAATTTTAATGGAACATTGATTTTATGCTGGGACTACTCTTTCTGAGTGACTCAAAAGCCAGAGAAAAATATGGAGCAAAATAAAAATGAATCATGACAGCGGACAGGGATTATTATTCTGGGGCTTTTCTTGATTGGTTTCCAGGGAATATACAACACTTGAATTCAATCGCTTGTGTCCTTCAGTGTCCTCCAGCAGCACAGCAGCAGTATAATGAGACAGCAGGCAGAGCAGAGCAGAGCAGGGACTCAGAAACAAGACACTTTGCTGCACTCTCTTCTCCTCTGTATGGGAAAGCTGTGATTGCTACTGCTGCTGTTACACGCTTCCTGTTATGTCACCGAAGGTAAACAAAATAAATCTGTATTCACATGTTGCATTTTCTAAGAGTCAAATGACAAGTTCACAGCCAAGTGCTGATTCCTGTGCACGCAGCAAACAGCTCACAGTGCTGCAGATCAGCACATTGCAGACTGCACATCAACATTCATGAGGGGTACTCACTCAAACTTTACCCTGGCAGATGTTGTCCCTTATCAGATTTTATGATGAAAGTAAATAACTGATGTCATTACATGGCAATGGACTGTAAAATGGGGACCCATGCAATCCAATTACATCACCCGTGGGTGAGCTGTACAGCAGCTATGAGTGATCAGCATTGTGAGGCAAGAAAGGAGGACGTGGCCCCTTCATACATATCCCTGCAACACTCTCCAGCACGACAGCCTCCCGCCGCCACACACACTCAGAGGACATCAGGTAAATTATTGAAAACAACCTGCAAAATTGAGCGCGCTACACTCTCACTTCAAAGATATTGACCCGAGAACACCATCATCTTCTGAGCGGCCGTCTGAGTGAAGATATAAGTATTCTGGCGGGGTGAGGGGTTGCCGCAAGGTTACTGCACAGATCTTCCTATAGCAGCAGAGATACAGCTATTAAACAGCACAAATTTGGAGAAAGATGGGCTAATTTTAGTTTTAAAAAAGTATTGACATTCCTAACTTCTACCCTGCACAGACACATTATCTCCACAGCTACGATGACAGGAAAAAAGAAATATGGGGGAAAACTATATTTGTGACAGGTTCATTAACAAGTATTTGTGTTGCAACTGGTGTCTTTCAGTTGCTCACACATGATACAGGAAGCAACATGTCATTTTAGAGTTGAACCAATTAGTCAATTAATTGCTCATCTAATCAGCAACAATTCTGATAAGTGTGTGAGTTGTTTGTTGAGCCTCTAAAATGTGAACATTTGCTGCTTTTCTTCATCTTATGTGACAGTGAGCTACATGTCTTTGGGGCTTTGGCATGTTCACTATGTTCAGATATTTTACAGATCGATCAATCAATCAACTGAGGAAATAATCTACAGATAAATCATTTAAAACAAAAATATTTGCTAGCTGCAACCCCATGGTATTTATACAAATTCTAAATTGGCTACCCTGTGCAGAGAAGTGATCTTGATTGCTACGATGACAGTAGAGCTGAAACAATTAGTTGATGAATCAATCAGTCAATCAACAGATAATCTGCATGAACTCTGATTAAAGATAATTTATTTCAGCTATTTAATCAAGCAGTAGTCCTAATATTTCCTGGTTCTAGCTTCTCAAATGTGAGCATGTACTGCTTTTGCATAATTTTAAGATGAATTTAAATGGATTTTAGACTGTTGCTCTAAAAACACTAGACACCTGAAGGCCTCACCTCGTGCTTTCTGAACCTGTTTTTTCTAACATTGTGGAGAGAAGGAAATTAATTGATTATTTTTTAAAAATCCAGTCCAAGAAGAACATAGAGTAAATAATAATTTCCTGATGGGTTTCACTGTCCATTTCAAATTCATTCCTGAAAAAAGCACCGTAGCTGGGGTGTCTCAGCAGATGACAAACAACATGTCTTACTAATTAGAAAAACTATCATTACTTAATTCAACACTCCTTGAACTGGTGCCGGCCTTCCCTTTGACCCTTCCCATACATCTGGCGCCATCTGTTGGCTGATTACCAACTGTCAGCATTAATCCAACAACAACAACAACCTTTGTCTGTTGACGATGGTGCCATTGGTTCAACTGGATCATTCAACTGAAGGAGACATTCAGCTGCAGGCCATTTTATTTTCTTCATGCTATAACCAATCTGCACACATACTGACCAAAGTTGCTCAACAAGAGGTTAGTAAAACCATCGGGTTCAACCAGTCAGGGCCAACCAACTGTAACTGCCCCTTTAAGAGCTAACAGTTTGTCTTTTCACATTCTGCATCACAGGAGAGATGCTCATTAAAAGCGCCTCCATTCCTCACTGTTTCATCAAGTGAGACTGCCAAGCTCTTTAACTCAGTGTTCTTGATGTTTGTGCTGTTTGTGTAAAACCCATCTGTTTCCTCGTCTCTCTGTTGGCAGAGGGTCCACCTCATCCGTATGCTTCTCTTTTTGAAGTCGTGTCAAAATCGCATTTTTATGCATCTAAGATATCCAACTTGTCATCAGCACTCAAGCAAAAGTCAAGGAGGGCACTCCTTAAATAGCTCCTTTTTTCTCTCCATATACCATACATGCAGAAACAAGGATAACAAAGGAATTACAGATGTGATATTTATCATTTCTTTTACACATAAATAAGGTAATTTTAACAATGCTTTTGTGGCTTTCTGTGCTTACATTTAAGATGTAAAAAAAATGCTATCGTGCCTCTGTTTTTAAGGTAAAGTTAATGAACCGGAGTGCAAATGGAAAGACAAACTACAGCTTAATCCACATCTAAATAACTTCACTCCAAAGCACCACTTCTCTCTCTGGGTGAGCAAATTTATTTCAAGGCAAGCAAGATCATTAAACAGAAATACCCATTCTGGGCAGCTGTACTAGAAGGAGATAGTGCAGAAAATAATTTCCTAGGTTTAAGCATCGAGAGCCACCAGTGAATAATCAACATCAGTGAACAAATCAGCCACACATTCAGCCACAAACACATCCACTGTTGCTAAACCGTGTCATGATTTCAGACACATTCATCTATCACAAAGCTATAGTTTGAAGATCGAAAATCGCCGTCAGAATAATTATCACTTTAAAAGCATGTCAACGTGTAAAAAAAAAAGAAGAAGAAAAAGAAGAAGAAGAAAAAGGAGAAGGAGAAGGTATAAATAAATATAGCTCACTTCCCTGTCGGAAAGCTGGCAGGTAATTTTCTCCAGCTGCTCTAAGTGTGACAATCCCACAGGGATTGAAATCTAATATTAACAGCAAATCATTATGTGGGAACTGTTCTTCCATGACCTGCCGCTGTACCTGTGTGACTAACTCAATCTAAGTAATTGAGATATGTTAGCGACTAGAATACAGTCCTGCTGTGACAGCAGAGGGTCACGCAGAGTGTAGTGGGACTCCAAACACACCTCAGCACCGGAGATGATTTACATGTCTATATGCTTTGACTGACAGGCTCTGTTCTCTTCATGTGATGCTGGTTTCTTTTGGTGCGTGATGAAGTCGCTTTTGATTGACAGCAAAGAAGCGATTTGAAATTGACATCGTATAAAGTGGTGAATGCCCAGGGGGGATATGTCACCATACATATTTACTATACTGTAGTTATTCAAACAGAAACACCAAGTCATGCAGCCAGCTGCACGATCCATGTCAGCATACTGCAGTCTAATTGGAGTTTTTCACTTGTTTTTATACTGGTGTCAACTAAATTGCTTTTTAAAAAAGTGAGGTGGCTAAGCTGCTTTTGGGGAAATTATAAACAGATTGTGGTTGTTAGTGCAAAACTATCATATGACAATGAAGCAAGGAAGTTGATTACATTCGTCGCAGCACCTAAATTACAAGGTGCATTTTGTTCAGTTTTATTCCATGATGATGTATAATGTACTGATGGCGACGTTAATAATTACATACTATATATAGACCTCCTTCATGTTGTAACTGATCCCCGTGTGACCAATTAATCAACATAAAAGGCGCTGCCATTGTAGTTCAAAGTATTTGTAATAATTCAGTATAATGGCCTGCCTCTACTGTCCAAGAAATCATTTTTAATTGTCTCATTAGAAGATGCTGTAGCTGTGGGTTGGAGAAAACAACAATAGTTCTGTTTCCGCTCCACTGCCACAGATCTTTGAAGCTTTCCACTTACCTGTGCAAAGCTGCGGGCCCAGACGTCCTTTTTGTAACCACAGCAACCTGGCTGGCTCTTTGAAATCCCTGCAAAAATAGAATAACACCAAGTAGTGCACTTTGATGGAGGAAGCCTATATCATGCAACAGTCGACAATACAAAACACTGACCTCATTAAAAACTATTGTCACCAAAGGATTCTGGGCTTGTAGCGACTCTTTTCAACTGCATGACTAATTGCTCGAGTGAATTTTAATGAGAAACAGTTTGGCCATGAAATGAATAAGTTATCTTACAACAAAGGGTAAAGTTTGTGTTTGGTACTACATGCACATGCCATGAAGTACTACAACAGCTACCTCCAATGCAGGCCTGTTTACATGATAAGAGGCAGACCTTAATGTTCTGTTTGACAGTTAAAAAAACATGCTTAACATTGCTTTATCAGCTTGCTACTAGGCTACATGACTTTTTCTCATTCATAAGAATAGCTTATTTACATGACATGTTTGATGACATGTTTTGTCTACCACAGAAAATCACACATTACTTCTGGGTCATGGAGACATCCAATAGGTTGCATGCTTAATATGTGTGATTAGTGCCAACTTTGGTCATTGTAGCTTTATAATAGTTTGTTCATGAGAGGTCTTATTTGCCTATAAACATATAACCTGACCATGCAGGATAACAAACTATAAGTTTCCTTGTCTGTGGATAACTTTTTAGTAATCAAAATTAATATATTTGTTAAAGAATAGCCTTTATGACAAACTTACGTGAACTATTTCTTCATTATTTGGAGTAATACCAATGCTTTATGTTGATTTACATATTTTGTCACCTTAATTAAATGTGCAAGCCCACTCTGTGACAAAGGGAAGGGTTACCACATCAGTACCTCTCTACATTAATAAGGTCAAAAGAAAAGAAAACAACACATTTAGAGGAAGAAATCATTTTGCATTTAGTAGCCTATTATTATTTTGACACAAATAGCAGTGGGGCCTGTGGGATCCTAGACCATGAGGGAGTAAAGCCAGTGTTAACAGCAGATAAGGGTTGAGTCATTCAAGTACTGCACTTTAACAAATGTAATTAGCGACTTTGCATAACGGATAAGAGAAACACTCAGTTGCTCGATGTACAGCGAGAGTTAACCACTATTTCTGTGGGAATATAATAGAAATAGAAGAACGAATATTCAAAGCAGCTATAATTGATATTTTTGTACCACATGACAATGTGAGGGGGTCTCTTGTAGTGATGAGCCTATGCAGCTCCCCGCAGCTTTATGGAGGTATAAAGAGAGTTTCAGCTCATTGTTCAACTGCCCAGCCTGTAACTTTACTATTCTGGTTCAATCTCACTGCTGTCATTGTGTTGTTTTCAGCCTCAACAGACAGCTGTTTTCAGAAAAAAAAGCTCTAAGAACTCCCTGTGCACTACCTGCTCAGCACCAGACAGGGAACAGACAGAGTTAGCAACTAGCCAGTGAACATAAAAATAATCAATTTTTTAGTCTAATGGAAATTGCTGCGCAGCAGCTGCAATACAAAGTTAGAGGAGTGCAGGTACAAAGTGTGCAATATTCAATAACTAGCATAACAAAGTAGAAAAGCAATGTATAGCAAATATAAATTACAGTAAAAAGCAAGTCTAAAACTGAATGAAATAGTGATGCACGATAATATCAGAATCAGCCAACATGCTGATTATATTAGTATTTCATCCGTATCGGCCAATACCGGCTTTAAAATGAACTACCACAATCGGCCAACATGCTTTTTCTTATTTTGCACAATGAATGAATATTACATACGTTAAAAAACATTGTATTTCACGTCTCAATCTGCTGTATAATATGATGTTAAATCCACTACAGAAGAGACTTGATGATCACTAAAATTAGGTGGGGAAAAAAAGTGGATATATTGATGTCGGTTTTGGTTATTGGCCAAATGAGCTGCCATATATCGGTATATCAGATATCGGCAAAAAATCCAATATGTGCATCCCTAGACTATAAACTAGATACCAGTATGGTGCAAAATATAAGAACTAACTGAAACTCACAATATGGACCAAAATATAAAATATAAAACAAGCTACCAGTAGGTGGAAAATATAAAACTAACGAACCATAAGGTGCAAATATAAGAACTAGCTCACAGTAAGATTTAAAATATAAAAACTAGCTCGCAGTAAGGTGCAAACAGGTGTAAATGTGCCCTGAACATAGTAGCTAAAGAGCTAAATAACGTTAAGACCCAAAACAAAGCTAAAAGAGAGTGAATATTTGACTTACATTCATCATGTGGACGCAAACATGACTCTAGATGAATGACAGTGTTGCTTCATAACTGCTGGATGAGTAAATTAGCAACTATTTGCTAACAGCTTCTCCATTTAGCTTGTTTTTGCTGCCCCCGAGTGACAGAAAACGGAGCTATGCTAATGTCAGGCTAACTTAGTCGCTGACCGTTAACTATTTAGGTAACTAAGATAACTAGTTCACAGCCAGGCATTAGCATACTATGCCTCAAATTACATGCTTACAAAATGTTATCCTAAATGCCAACGAAACAAACATGACGAAGTTTAACTCAAAGTTAATTAGTGATTTAAATGTCACTGCTCGCACCAACCTACAAAAGGGGGCGTTGCAAATTACATTTGTGATTGACAGCGCAGAGGACCAATGAAAATCCTTCGTTAAATCTACTACGTAAAACACGCTAGCATCCAGGAAGTGAAGAACTGTTTACACAGGGCTGTGTCTGTGGCTCTACTGTAGCTCGGCTAATGTTTCGGTTGTGGCACAGCACTAAAACAAGTCGGGTGACACTGTCGGGTTTAACCTGTAGAAACATGTCTGCTCAGTGTGACGTTGAAAGCAACAGGTCGATTCACTCGGACAGCCTCGAGGAGGTTCATAACATCCCGATGAATGTCATCATCAGACCGATCCCCTCGGTGCTGGATGAGCTGAAAGTTCAGAGTCTGATGAACACCATAAAGGTAACAGTGTTTTATCTACTCTATGAATTAGTGTCTCATTTTGAGGTACAGTAAAATACCTGGCCTACAACAATGCTGTGAATTAGCCCCCCATTGTATAAACAACTATCGAGATCTTTTTCTGAAGTGAAAGTTACTAAATGCTGAGTCCTGCTACTAAAACAATACTAATAGCCCTTCATACAAAATCTTATTACAACAGTATTAGCATCAGAATATACGTAATATAGGCTACTCGAGTAAAAGTACTCAGAATCGACATATATCACAAGATTCTACTTAGGGACTGTTCGTTACTTTTTGATGGGGTAAGGGGTGGTGCAAAAAGGGGAGGCATGTCATATTTTGGCTTAGGGAAATCTGCTATATAATCATTGACATGGTCAGTGGCATCATATCCCCTTTGCACATGCACCAAGGTTGTGGCTGTCTGCCAATAGCTGTCTTGAATTAACTTCTTACCCAGTTTTAAGCCACATTTTTAGAACACACATGTTAGATATTGGTTGTTTTTAACTATATGTTTTAACTGGATGAAGGTCACCGGATTTTAAGTTATCAGAAAACAAGCTGAGTAAATTTTGGCTCTATCCCCTTCTATGCTGACCAGCATTGGAGAAAATGTTAATATCCTGATCCGTTTAGTTTGGAGAGGAAGAGACCTGTGTGGATCATTTGTCTCCCAGTCAGGAAGGAATCCTAACTGTGAGAAACAGACTGCAATGACAACAATGCGCTTACTTTTGTTATTGTTTTGATTGAGAAACTCCAAGTGAAAGAAATCAGTGAAACATTTAATTAAAATAATTGATAAATTAATTGACTGTCAGTATCTTGTACCAGAATTACATACAAAGCATCAGACCATGATGCAAGGACATCAAATTTACAGGAAATATATTTGAACATTAAAATGAATATATATTTCACACTGCTTGGTTGTTAAGGCCCTGGATGCATTTTTGTACATTTAGCTACCCAGCATCATTTAAAGATCTTCAGACTGTCTCCACCTCCAGAACATTGTGATAATAACTCAATAATCAACCAGATCTCGAAAGGGACCATTCTGCATAATGAGTACTTTTACTTTTGATGCTAATAATAAATCTGGATTTTTACTTGAGTGAAATGTAGAATGCAGGACTTTACCTTGTAATGTAGTATTTACCCAAAGTGGTATTTCTAAATAAAAGGTCAGAGCGCTACCTTCACCACTGCCTATAATGTTCTTACAGTAATCCTACAGGAGCAGGACTTTGTACTAACATTTCCAGTAATCATCACAGTACAGTGCATCTTTTATTTTTGGAATATAACAGTTTATTCAAGACATTTTTTTACAATCATTTCTTCTCCACACTTGGTGTATGAATCAATTCTCCGGTTCTTCCTTCCAGGACACAGCAGACATCAGTGTTGTTCCTCCCATCGATGTGCTCTGGATCAAAGGCAGTGAGGGAGGAAACTACTACTACTCTTTTGGAGGCTGTCACAGGTTTGCTGCGTATCAGAGGCTGAACATGCCGACCATCCCGGCCAAGCTCGTCAGATCAAACATCTCAGACCTCAGGACTTACTTAGGGGCTTCAACTCCTGATCTGCGGTGACGGCAGAGCTGCTTTATGAGAGACTTTGCTCAGGTGGCTCACACACTCACACAGTTATGACTCTCCCGTTAAAGCTGCAGAGCACAGGACTTACCAGCAGGGGGAAATGTAACTCTTCAGTTAAACACATGACCTTTGTCATTGGAAACCACTGAAATGTGAATTAAAGGGTGAGTGTGTGTGTGTAAATTTGTGTTTCTGTCAATTCTTCATTTTACTGAGTTGATAGTCTGTCATACATTTAACTTTCAAACACCAATTGCACTGTACTGCACATAAAAAGTAACTTAAGTTATCATTTTCTAGCAGTTATTTTCTTGCACGTCACAGCGGGGAATTTCTTTTTGTACAGCAAATGCAGATTTTACATTAGTAAGTGGATATAGCTGAGTGACACTACATAGCAAGGATCGATGCAGATGTTGAGGCTTTTTTCACTGCAGACATATTGAATAAGAAAAGCACAAGTGCTATATATGACATACATGACAGTATTCTGATTTTGATGCTGGTCATGTAAACAGCGTATTCCATTTGAATATTTTCAAATTAGGCCTTTTTACGAATGTAGTATTTTCAAATTAAGAAATGTTGCATGTGTCGATATATTCGGGTTTTAGGAGCATTCTTTGGACATGTATACCACGCATTCGAAATATGTGTCATGAGGTATGAGGTTTTTACAGCAGTTTGCCTGTTTACGGTCAGCTCTGTGCGTTGTCATGGAAACATTGAACACAAACCAACTAGCCAACAGTTTGCAGGGCTGAAGGTTAGAGATGCATGCCCACAAACAAAGACTTTGATATCAAAAGGTGTTTGGATATGCGCAAATGTGGCTACGCTGACCTTTTCAAGAAGGTGGTTGAATGAATGAAAGACGGAGGCTGTGTTTACACGGTCCAACAAGGCTGCCAGCTGTGCTGTTAAGTAACCAAAATCCAACATCTCATGCCAACATCATCTTAACATAGAATAACAGCATGTAGTCATAAGGCAGGGGTCAGTTACCTTTACTGTCAAAAGAGCCATTTTTGGCCAAAAAGCTCTAAATAACCTGCCTGGAGCCATAAAACACATTTGAGCCTTATAATGAAGGTATCAGTAAGACTAAACTCACCCACTAACATTACTAATAGATGAGCATTTCTGAATATGTTTTACCAAAAAGTGACTAGTGGGCTATTTATGATTGTTTGGTACTTTAACTTTGAAGGGTTGGCGGCAGTAGGAAACAAATATGTCCACGCACTGTTAAATTCTGTATCGTCCTCCAAGACTTTTTTAAATCTAGAATGCATAGCTAGCGTAGCAAGGAAAATCCAAGACAAGCCACCACTAGTGAGGTATGATGCACATTTAATTGATGAAATGAAAATGAAAATGAATATGTTAGAAAATAGCCATTATTAATTTCTATATAATTATTTTGCCAAAGCCACAGGGAGCCACTGGAGAGGGGCAAAAGAGCCTCCTGTGGCCACTGAGCCACAGGTTGCCTACCCCTGTCGTAAGGTATGGAGAACGGAACTCAACATATTCAAAACATCATAACGTTCACACAACATGAAATTCTAACGTGTAAAATATCGTCAACATGATTTATATTACAACCAAAATTTAACGTCTGTCTGACATAGGAGTCCAATGTCTTTCTGATGTCATATTGACGTCTGGTGCCAGCAGGGAAACGACATGTTAGGGCACATTAGTGAGAGTATTCACAGTTAAATGGGAATATTAGGGGAGTATTAATTTTCATCAGCCATGTAAACAGCTTACTAGGAGCATTGTCATTTTCGGAATAAGCGCAAAAAACAGAATATTTTGTGCATGTAAACATAGTCAAGTGTCCCAGTAAGCCATGACAGCATGCAGTTAGCCAGCATGCACAAAACCAGGACCCTAAAACTGAAGCAGCTAAATGGAATTCAGCCATTATTAATTTCATTATTTACACCTGTGCCTTTTCTGCTGTTACATGTCAAAATGTGTTCTGTGAAAAAAGACTTATTGAATCCACCAGTGGCTTCTTTCCTTCAAGTGCACCTTTGAGCTCCTTCTCCTGAGCTCTGGGAAAAGATTTAAATATTGTTACACATTTTAGATATTTCAGTCTGAAATTATATCAAACGGTCCCTCTAGTCAATCTCTTTTTTTTTCCCCCTTCATGGCACTGGTGTTAATTTTAGAAATCAAACACTGTGAAGCTGCTTTGTGTGCAGCAGCAGCAGAATATGAGGAATGTGCATTATTTCAGTAACTGAAACCTGCCTGTAAAAGTGCTAATGATTAAGCGGGACCAAATGTTGCAACAGAGTATTAAAGATGTATGAAATCTCACACGTGGTCAGGTTTGATTGTGATGATTCAGACAGCACAGGGAGGAAACAGAGAGGAGCCTCTGGAGCAGATGGTTTGCAGAGGGAGTCAGGTGTTACGAGAACATCAGGCTGACAACTTCTTGTGTCAGAATGCAAGATGCTGTCGTGTCTTGCTGAGGCATAGGTCTTTCCAGTCTTGCTGCTGTCATCCAGGTCAGTTTTAAATGAAAACTCGATTAAACCAAAGCACTTTATCACTTCCTTGAAGTACCACAAGATAAAATCATTTTACAAACTTGTGTAAAAGGATCTGATTGATGGCTTACTCCTCATACTATAATCCCTGATGCTTTAAAGGTACAAACAGGTTCCGCTTACAGTCATCAACATGCAAAACAATGATGCTAATGGTTTGTTTTGCTGTGATGAATAATGCTGAAGGACATGTTTGTTGTTGATTGCAACCTTGAGACTGTTAAATCAGTTTTCTTGGCCCACCGTCATGGAGGAAGGAACTACATCTGCAGAATAATGTGAGTAAAGCGTACATCACAGGCCGCTGCACAAAGACGAGGTCTTTCCGACATCACCGCCTTCACAATGCGAGCACAGAGCTGCTTGATGGTCTCCCTTTGTGGCCATCGAGGAAATGAAGGGAGACCCGAGGGCAGCTTTTACCGACCGGCCCTAAAGGACTCTAAATTTCTCCTCTAAATCGTCGCGTGTGAGAAGACTTCCTGTGGCTCGCTCACTGTCTGGAAGTAACCATATCCTCAAAGGGTTTTTGACACGCAACACCGGCATGAAAAAAATATATTGCACCTGTTGCTTCGGGGAGCGGTTTCCATGGGTGGTTCTGTGCGCTTTATCTTTGAGGATTTAAACACATCAAGGGGGTTTAAGGGGCTAAGAAGAGGAAGTGTTTGTGGCCATTTTTCACAAATGGATTCTCATCACATGCTGTTTTGCAGTTTGATGTTGTCTTGCTCAGTGATGACTGGAGAAATGAACTTAGGGGGACTACTTTGTGTTTACATTAGAATTTGGTGATTCCTTTTTGTTGCCTTAAGCAGGGATTTGATTTTCTCTGCTCAGTACTGTTTCTCTCCTGGAACATTAGAACAAAATATAGTATTGTTAACAGCTATAACTTAAACTTCTATTTTAAGGCCGTCAATGTAATGTAGCTTTAATATGTTTTAATGTGTAACAAAGTTTGTTTACCATCATGTACATTTCTTCATTGTCTCCCTCCATGTATGCCAGCTAGCTAAACTTTAAATTATGGGCAAGTAAGGTCAGAAAAAATGTATATATTATGAGTCCTTGAAAAGTCATGGTAAAGTTTTGAAATTTTGTCAATGAAAATGGGAATGAACCCTGGATTGAAATATATGTATGTAATTTTTTATGTGCAAAGGGGGCATTTATAGGATTTTAGAACACTTGGGGCTCAGCCTGGACCTTTGCAGGGGGTACTTGGGGATCCTCCCCCAAGAT